AGCTAATTTAAAAAAAAAAAAAAAAATTTGTTTCTTCTGGCCACCTGAACTAACAAAATCACATATATTGGAAGCTGGAGAACACAACTTTAAAACCAATAGTCTGGATCAACTTTCCTAAAACTGCCTCTCTCTTGCTTAACAGATATTATAAATCCAATTCTTAATCTCTGACTGAAACATGTTCTACATGAGAAAAAACAGGCAGAAAATATAGATAGTCTGAAACTGGCAGAGAAATTAGCTGTAAGCAGCTACCAAAAAATCTAAGAATTACTAGGATGGAAAAACATAAGTATATCCATGTTAAATGTATTTTATTAAGATAATAATTCCTTGGGTAGAAATACTCTTAGAAGGGAGACATTTGTTATTCATTTTCAGTCAAAGTTTAAGGGGGAAAAAATCGTTCATTATACTTGATTGTATATACTCAGAACTTCACTTAACAGCCTACTATAATCTGATTCTTCCTTCTAGAAGGAAAGCAGGTAGGGCACTAGAGGGGCTCACGCCACAGCATGAGGATGCTCTGAGCTGTCTTACAGGAACTCTCGGCCAGGGCAGGACTGCCATTTAGGGTTTCCTAAGCCAATGGTTCTCAACCTGTGGGTCTCTACCCCTTTGGGGGTTGAATGACCCTTTCACAGTGGTCGGCCGATTCATAACAGTAGCAAAATTACAGTTATGAAGTAGCAACAAAAACAATTTTATGGTTGGGGGTCACCACACATGAACTGTATTAAAGTGTCGCGGCATTAGGAGGTTGAGAACCACTGCTATAAGCAAATAGAAAGCCTCATCCTTCTCCTGAGGAGATTTCGAACTGCTGACCTTGCGATTAGCAGCCCAATGCATAACCCTGATGCCACAAGGGATCCTTTTAAGAAACTACAGTATAGTGTAAACATAACTCTTTGTTGTTAGATAACGTTTATGATATTTGTGAAAGACAAGCATTACTGGTGCTTGTAAATAAACGAAAAGGTGGACTGGGTTGGGTTTCTTATTTGTAAAGAGAATCTGAGTCAGCTTGGCTTGCAGAAAGTTTACTAGAGAATCAATACATCATGGAACTCACTGTGAATGAGTCCTAATTGTACCCTACAGTAGAGGGGAGAGCTGCCCCGGTGTGTTACTGAGACTTGAACTTTTCTTTTCTTTTTTTAAACTTTCATATGCACTGAGAAACCAAAAAATGGGTATGGCTTGTTTACTTCATTGGTCTAGAACTGAACCCACATACCTCCACAGCATGGCTATTCCTGGTAATAGGAAACAATCCCTCTCCCGGCCCACCCCCCACCCCCCACACACATATTTTAATGTCTGAAAACTAGAAGAATTGTTATAGCACATTATTTGGTCATTTACCTACAATTTCACAGCAAGTCAGAGATTATTATCTTAAGCTTAGTATCTGTCTACCAAGCTTTTGTCTACCATAGATTAATTTAATGGTAAATTCATGATCGTTTCATCAGTAGAGTATTATTAAACAGTAAGTCACTATCTTAGGTGCTTACAATGAAACACTCAACCTAAACAAATCAGTTGTAAAACCAAAAGGCCTGGAACGAATGGACTTTACTCCTCATTCTGAATTTCACAATGCGCACTATTAGCTCTACCTTACGAACCGCACATTGAAACGGCTGTAGTACTGAGGCACTCACCTTGTCCCACTCCTGTACAGAGGTGATGTGCTTTTCCAAAAACTCTGCCATCCCAAATCCCATCTTCCGGCAAATGTCAGCAATCACTGTTTGATATTTCTCAGCCAGATTTCTAAACTCAAGAGAGATCTGAAACAGAATCATTCAATATAGACTTAGACTGTGGTGATTTAACACAGTGCCTATGGGGCACAAAGCAAAACTATGGTAGAACTCATTAATTAGGCTTTCCAAATGGTTCATCTAGAAGCCTACAATCTAAGTTATGCTAAATGCCATGTTTTAATATGAAAGGCAACAACTTTTCTTAATATTAAAATAGAAGGACCTACATAATTATAAAATTGCTAGTCTCAAAAGAAAGTTCAAAGTCTCACTATATACTCATTTTCCCAATACATGATAAATGGATCAAGCTGGGCAAAAATTTTAGAATGCCTCATTTCAGATAAACCTCAGGACAGCAAAATATTATTCCCACAATATTTACTGTCACTTCCTGTGTAACAGGCAATGTTCTAGGCACTGCCCTTGTAGGCAACTTAGACAAGGGTCAAAAGAACTACTAGAAAAATCAGAGAAACCTTTATCAAACAAACAAAAATGTAAAGCAACTCTTCTTCAACATACCCTCCATCTAGACTCTGAATGCAGTGTCCTCGCTGCTCTCCGCTTCCCTGAAGACTTCTGCACTCTATTTATACCCTGTCCAAGTGGCAGTTGGGGCATCCTCAAGGGATGCAAACTGTATTCTTTTTAAATGTTCTTTGAGTTTTAGGGGGGAAAAGAAGTCTAAAGGGTACACTCAGGCTGAAGGGTGATTAGGCTGTGGTTTCTCAACCCAATTCTCCGAGGTCAGTCCCGAAGACTGAGTTGGAGCATTGCCATGATGTGGGGAATAAGCCTCCTGGCTGTTTTCTCCCCAATGTAGTTTTCACATTTCTTAAAACACCTTTATAAGGTCTCATGACAGTTCTGCGTCCAATGAGAAAAATTCATTAATACTACCCCCTTGGAATTCCAAAAACAGTCACCATAACTTTCTGAGCTGCCCTCTCTGCCTGGGTTGAACTGACCCAGCACATACCCTTAGACACCTGTCTTAATTGGATCTTCTTTTTGAAGGCACAAGGTGTCTCACAAGGAGACTAAGTCAGTGTATTACTGAGAAAACTTGTCTGGCACCACCCACTGATAGCACACATGATTTAGCATGTTTTATTTGGAACACAACTGTGCTTTGAGCTGGAACCCTAGTAGCAATACTTTCTGACGTACTCCTGCATTCTACTGACATCAGCAAATCATTTTTGTCACCAGTTCCCAAATGTGTATCACAAAGACAGTGTCTCCTCCAAGACAGACTGCACTTTTAATTTCTTTCACAACTCAACACAACCTAAACTGTAATGCAGAAAAGTGACTTTCCTGGGCCTTTTTTCCCTTTCAGTTTATTGCTACTGTGCTACTGCACAAATATCTCAAGTTCAAACATGTGTTTACAGGTTAGCAAAATACAACATAAAAACATCATGCAACCTCAAATAGAATGCTATTAAAGCAGTAATGGAACCAAGACACAATACTAAAAACAGTGAGGAGAGTGTTAAAAAGCCAATGTGAAAATTTATTTGGCCTTTGCTTATGGAAAGGTTAGAAAAACATTCTCTGGAGAAAGCCTATATTTAAGGACCGGAGGAAAAGCAAGTTCACTGCAGAGTCCACAGGGATTCAGAAGCCTGCCAATCTTTAGGGTTGGAACTAACTAACCCAGTGGTAACTATTCAAACCCAAAATTAGTTTGTTGGATTGAAAGAAACTTGGAAATTGTCCTAGACCCCATTCCTTCAAAGATCCAATTAAAAGATCCAATTGGAGGGGGGAAGTGGGGAGATGGTGGTACAGTTAGACTCTCAAAAAACAAATGTTCCAAAATAAACTCTTTCATTTCTGCAGTGAACTATCCCCTTTAACAATGTTAAAGGGTATGTATAAGATTATGCAACATACTAAAAAATGTCTTTAATATGCAAAAAAAGAGTGACGGAAAAGGGGATACAAGCTCTTCTGAGTCCTTTTCTGGCTTCAGCCACACCCTCCTAGCATCCCTTGTAATTCTGTTCTACGACAGATTTCTAGGTAGATCACTTTCTGGTTGGTGATTTCAACAACTTGAAGGCAGGCTACCTTAAGGAGCACACTAGGAGAATGAAGAAAAGCCACAGACCGGGTAGTGGAAAGAGTATGATGTCACTTGCATGGTTTTATGAAGTAAAATTCGCTTTCCTATAAACCTTGGCAGTATTGTGTTCAAATCATTGGGAGATTCCATTTTTACTTATACTTAAAATGGGTTTTGTTTTATTGCTTTTATTTCAATTTTTTAACACGTTTTAAACAGCAAAAATATACCAAAGATTAAGTACAACATTTTAGGAGCAGGTTCTCTGGATTTGAGTGCAGGTTCACCACTTACTGGGTGGCCTTAGACAAGATACTTAATCTCTCTGTGCCTATTTCCTCCTGTACACAAAGTTGTGGATAATACTAGCCTGCCACATACTGAGTTTGTCTGTTAAAACCACATTATAAATAAAACAAAATAAGCAATAAATTAATGTGAGACAGCTAAAACCTCTGCCATATTTTTGATAGTGACGGATTCATAATAAATTATTATATAAATGCTTTCTATTGTTGATCTGATAATTTTAAAATAACCCTGGTGTTGTATTCTTAAACCATGTTTTAAAGACAGGCCTAGTTTTCCAATAGTACCAGGTACATAGAAGAAGATACACTCTTAACTCACAATATGCAATGAAATTTCTAGACTATATGTCTTTAAATGGTACCAACTAATGGTAACTCAAGCATATAAGCACCAGGTTCATTCTCAATGTGCAGACTTAACTGCTCAAGGTGTAGTTCAGTTGGCTAGTAAACTGTGATTAGGCTTGTCCCTAGGTTCTGTGGGGGCTAGAGCCAGCTTACAAAGGCTCACATAGGACCAAAAAAACCCCCAAACTCATCAAGTCCATTCTGACTCATATTGGGTTTTCTAGAATGTAAATATTTACAGGAGCAGACAGCCTCATCTTTCAACTCCAGACTGGCTAGTAGGTTTTCACTGCCACTTTTTAGATCACAGCACAATACCTAGCTCCGGTGTCCCCAGGATTCCTTCCACATTATCATTATATCTATAATAATAATAATAATCAAGCAAGATAACAATCTTGAATATTTCAGTTGAGTTTTGTTGCAAAGTGCAACAGGGCCAAGAATACTGATACCCAGCTCCCAAGCTTACCATCCTTCCCTTGCTGCTCTGATCAGCACTGGCAGGGGAATCTCACACGCATGTGTGGGCACCTTTGGGTCCAACACTTTATGCATACCCTCATAAACTAAATGTTGTTCTAAGATCTTTACTGTACAAATGTATTTAATCTTTCCAACTCCAATTTTGTAAATGAGGAAACTGAGGCACAAAGAAGCTCAGTAACTTGTCCAGGATCCACAACTTTATTTAAGTGGCAGAGAATCATTTTATCTCTCTCTTCATCCCAACAGCTAAAAAAATTCCTTGCTCCCCACCAGTCACCTCCTCTTGTCCAGGAATATCATGCCATCAGACTCAGGGTACTCGTGACCCTGGCAGTCTTTAGGTCGGTTGATTATATAAGCAGCAGGTTATCAGCTAGTCTGACAATCACTTACAACACTGAGAATTTGAACACATCTTTCCACAGGAACAAGCATCCAAAAAAACATATAGCAATGCTACTAACACTATGAAAACATCTGATCCTCACAGCAATTCCATAAGGTTGTTGTTACTAGGCGACATCAAGTCAGTTCCAACCCACAGTAACTCTGTGCACCAAACACTGCCTGGTCCTGCGTCATCCCCACAACTGTTCCTAGGCTTGAGCCCATTGTTGCAGCCATGGTGTGAACCCATCTCCTTGAGGCCTTCCTTCCCTTCTCTATCCCTCTATACCAAACATGATGTTCTTCTCCAGGGACTGATCTCTCCTGACATGTCCAATGTAAGATGAAGTCTTGTCAACCTTGCCTCTAAGGTAAGGAACACTCTAAGTCATATTTCTTAAAAACAGATTTGCCTTTTTAGCAGTCCATGGTACTTTCAATGCTCTTCTTCACCACAATTCAGATGCATCAATTCTTCCATCTTCCTTATTCAATATCCAACTTTCATATGTATATGAGGCAATTTAAAATGCCATGGCTTGACTCAAAATACCTTAATCTTCAAAGTAACATCCTTGCTTTTTTCAACACTCTAAGAGATCCTGTACAGCAGAACTACCCAATGTGTTGATCTCTTGACTGCTGCTCCCATGAGCATTGATTGTGGATCCAAGCAAGATGAAATCCTTGACAACTTCAACCTTTTCTCCATTTACCATGATGTTACCTATTGGGCCAATGGTGAGGATTTTGGTCTTCCTTACATAGAACTGCAACCCATACTGAAAGCTAGTCTTGATATTCATCAACAAGTGTGCTTTAAGTCCTCCTCACATTCAGCAAACAAGATTGTGTAATCTGAATAATGAAGATTGTTAATAATCCTTCCTCCAATCTTTAAGTCACATTCTTCTTCATATAATACAGCTTCTCTGATAATTTTTTTCAGCATAAAGATTGGATAAGTATGGATCCATCTGTTATCAGCAATGATATCCCTTGTTCCATGTCCTCTTCTGAACCAGTGTGAACCTGCAATATACTGCTGCAACCATTATTGGATGATCTTCTTCAGTAAAATTTTACTGGCATGTTAAGTCACCTTTTCCTGGAATGAGTACAAATATGAATCTCTTCCAGTCAGTTTGCCAAGTACCTGTCTTCCAAATTTCCTGATATAGACCAGTGTGTACTTCTTTCTAGTGCTTCATAGACTTCTTGGAATAATTCTGTATTTCAAGGGATTTCACTGCTTCAGTTTTCTCATCTATAAAATAGCAGGAAAAATAGTACCTATCTTATAGGAATTCTGTGAGGATCAAATGAGTTACTAAGGGTGAAGCTCTGAAAACAGTGTTAGCTACAACTATTTATACTGTTGATTTCTCAGAATTTCGATGCTTCTTCCGGTGGGAAAATATGTACAAATGAACAAGTGGGAGAGCTGGGATTCTAACCTGAGTAAAGTGACTTCAGAATCAGCCTACCAGGACTCTTAACACCAGAAGCTGCCTCAGACTGTTTACTTATTTAAACAGTATCCTATCTACAGAGGAACTTTTAAATTCTGCTACCGTTGGAAAATCCTCGAGCACTTGTCGATGCTTCTCCTTGCTCTCCATGAAGCGCCAGTCTGGATCATAAAGGAAAGTGTGAAAATTGTGTAGCAATGGGACCTTTTTTTCCATACTAATAGACATGTCATCTTCAACGGTGTCCAGAGCTCTGAGAACCAAATAAAATATGCATATTGCATGGCTGTAAAGAAAAGGAAAAAAAAAAAGAATAAAGCACTACAAATAAATTAGAACAATTACCCTAACATAATTATTTTCATGATGACACTTAATTTTTGCCAAGTCATTTTTCTAAAATCTCCTATACCTTTATAGAACTATGACATGCCACCCAAAGCATGGAGGTAATGCAAAATTCTGAAGAAATTTTAAATCAAATATGCAGTGAACCCTCGCCACTTCGCGCTTCGACTTCCGCGGCTTCACTCTATCGCGGTTTTTGCGTAACAGCGCATGCTCTGTCATTACTGCCACTGATTGGCTCATACTGTACATGCTTGATGCCATAAATAATATAATAAATAATAAATGATAATTGTAACATCCAAAATGTTTTACTGTATTTTCCCTTTTTCGTTTAATAAATTGGGTAATACGAGTGTAATGGTGACTAAAGGGTGTTTTTTCATGTTCTCTATGCTCTAACTACGAAAATATTTGATTTACAAATAAGGAATCCTACTTCGCGGAATTTCATTTATCACGGTAGGGTCTAGAACCGATTAACCGCGATAAACGAGGGTTCACTATATAGTCTTTACAGTTAAAAATGGCTTTGATTTCTCTGCCATCGAGTCAATTCTGCTCATAGTGACCCCATAGGACAGCATAGAGCTGCCCCTGTAAGTTTCCTGTAAAGAGTTACAAAGCAACTGGTGGTTTCGAACTACCGACGCTGTAGTTAGCAGTCCAACTTATGACCCACTACATCACCAGGGCACCTTACAAAATCTATTAACCATTTTCAAGCTCATCATTATGATACAGGTTAATATTAACACATAGTCACTAAGCTTCAGAGAAGCTAACCCATTAAAACTAATATGTTCTGTTCAACAGAGCATGTGTTCTCAAAAAGTGAATTGTGTTTTAAGTTAGCAAGCCACCAAATGTCCATCCACTCACTATACTTTTTATTAAGCTAGTAAAAACAAATAGAATAAATTATATGAGGTCACTGCATATGGCAATTTCCTAATAATTTCCACTATTATTAAAATATCCTGTTAATCTACCTAGTATTTCCACTGCACTTGCCAAGGCTGTTGCTTTCCTTACTTAGAAGGAAGTAAAATTCTACGGTTTATTTATATAAAGCAAACACCTAACAGCTGGACATCACTTACCTAGTAGAATGGGTTACATTAATGGAGAACAGCGGTACAAAACAACTGACCACATGCTTAGCGTGAACTACTTTTTGCAGATGTCAAGGGTCAAATAACTGTAACTACCATCATGTATGTAGGCATTAGTGTGCGTGTGTCATCTGCAGAAAGCTTTGGAAAAATTAACCCACTAATGGAAAAATGCAAAGGAGCTTAAGGGAAGTCAGGAAACGCAAGAGGCCTGTCCAGCTGCCAGGATTTAAAAAAGGTCGCCACCCCTCCCCGCCCCCAACTCGTTGCCTGCAGGGGCACTATTCGGCCGGCAAGGTGCCTGCAAGGGCAGGCTAAAAGTAAACTGCGTGGGCGTTGCAACCCCAAACAGTCCCTTCACTCGGGGGGGCACTGTTTGGGCCGATTCACCAGCAAGGAGGGAAGGAGGAAGCCACACTCCCTGCGGCTTTCAAAAAGTCGTGCCCTTCCCTCTCGTCGACCGACGGCCCGCGCGCAGCGTCTGCCACTCACCGCATTTCCCCGTCCAGGCCCTGGATTACCAAAGCGAAACTCCGACTGGTCTCATTCAGATACTTGTAACACGTCTTCAAGCTGCTCCTCAGCGAGTCCTGCGGGCATAGCAGACACACCGCGACGGCAGACGCTGAGGGGCTGGAATGGGAGGACAGACGCCTCACGGTGGTCGGGCTCCAGAGCCGGCCACAGGCGCCCTCGCCCCACGGCCGGTCCTTGGAGGGCCAGGCGCAGGGCGGGAAGGGACTGCCCCGCGGGGGAGACGCCGGGCCCGCGCCCCGGGGCGCCGCGGCAGGGCTCAGAGCTAAAGTCCGCTTGAAAAGGACCATGGCCTTGGTGCTGCAGGTAGCTGCCGCCATGGGAAAAGCGGTTAAAGCGGCAAGTTTTCCCTCCAGCAGAGCAGGGACGCGACCACCCAGGGTGGGGCCGAGGCAGGTTCAGGTTCTCACCCCGCGTAAACACACACGCGGCCAGACCCGCCCCACGGCCCCGCCTGCGCACGTGGAAGGCCACCCGCCCGCCAGCCCGGCTCCGCCCCACAGCGGCACCCCTGCCCCGCGCCCCGCCCACCTCGGCGCCCAAACGCACAGGCTACTGAAAGCTCGCAGCCTAGATAACTCACTAGTCTACATAAATAAAGCTGCTACCCGCGCCCTCCCTCAGAACCTCTGTTATCCTCTTGAATGATAGCTTGCTGTATTCCTTTTAAGATTTCTTCTTGGGTTTCCCTTTAAAGTTAAAGTGGAGTGTAACAAGCTGTTTGCTGAACTTTACTCTGAATCAATTTGAGGCCAGTGCGAAGGAAAATAAGGAAATGTTACGAAACGAAATGTGTGTAAATTGTTGAATTAAAAAAATTGTTTAATAAAAAAAACTTGCATTAGCCTAAAAAAAAAGCCTTATTTTCAATGCACTTATTATCACAAAGAATTGCTGACTCCTTTTAAGAAAGAAAAAGGCAAGATGTAAAATACCAGGCAGATTCCAAAGTGGAGACTTGAAATTCAACGATAAAGGTATTTTCCTACAAATCTTTTGAAACCCCCTCATATTTACAATAGGGGCAATTTTTTTTTAATGGAATATGCTGGTTGGAAATCCCAATCATTTCAGAATACTAACAATGATACTAATACTAATAATGGTAATCAATCATTATTGATATTTACTGAGCACCTTATATATGTAAAATCATTTGCAGTGTCTGGTGAGTGAAAAGACTCAGCAAGGATTTTATGAATATAGTCGGCCTCCAAAAACCAAACTCCAAACTGACTGCCATCGAGTTCCTCTCAAGATACAACATGGAGACTTCGCAGACTATCCGTGGATCACAATTATTCCTCCCTGCCCTGCCAACGTTTTTAACCCACGGCTACAAATTGTGGTTTCCTGGATGATGTCTAATCATGAGTTTCAAAAGTTGCCAAGGGGCAAACAACCACTCATTCTCTCAGCACTGCGATAATCTTCAAAAGCACTGCCCATCCATTCTTTCCAGCACCACTTCCACTCTTACAGGTAGCAATGCAAAGAAAAAAATCTTCCCCATCATTTTCTACCCTGTAATCTATCTGGCTTCAGTATTTCCACCTTATAACAATGATCCCCGGCCCCCAATTGCCAAGAAGAATGCAGGAAGAGGCAACAATAAGCACACTATGGAAGACAATGCTGGAAGATATAATTATTACACACACTATGGAAAACATGAAAAAAATTTCCACTGCTTTATTTCCATAAGCCGGCTTACTGCTGTCTCTCCCTAAGGACAGCTAAGATTTTCTCCTGCTGTCTGAGATGTAATACACTCCTCCCAAGGAAATCTCAAGTGAGTAAAACCAGAAAGAAGGGCATTTAGATAAAGGACGTGCAATGGTTTGAAGCTCAAAGATGGAACTTCGGCCCCAAGCTGAAACCCATTTCCACAATAGCTACCAAACCCCCTTCCCTTCAGTTGCCCTCCCTTACTGCCATTGAGTTGATGCTGACCCACAGTCACCCTATAGACAGGGTAGAACTGCCCCTGTGGGTTTCCAAGACTGTTACTATTTATGAGACGAGAAAGCCTCATCTTTATTTCCTGGAGCGGCTGGTGGTTTACTGGAGTGGCTCCCTGGTTGCTCACCTTGCTGGTTAGCAACACAAAGTGTAAACCTTCACACGGCCAGAGCTCCTACTCAGCTATCTTAGACCTAAACGAAACAAAATAAGTCTTTGAACAGGAAGGGACCAGGAAAAAAACTTATATATATTTTAACTACCATTTAAAATATATATATACTAAATGCCAGGCACAATATATTCTTGATCTTAAATCCTTATGAATGTTGTGTACAACTATTGGTCACCTTCCATCAGCAACCAAAAAAATGAAAGGAAAGAAAGTCAAAGGTGCAAGAAGTAGTCAGAGGACTAATGGGCCACCCAAACACCCGCCTCCATGATCCTGAGACCAGAAGAGCAAGATGGAATCCAGCTCCCACAGCTGGCAGCACTAAAAGGGAACTCAAAAATCACCAAAAATAGGCTTAACTCCCTTAGACCCTTTTCAGGCCCAGAAGTGAATTCATTCCAATGGCTCAACTTTCAGTCAAAGGATAAACGGACTTATAAAGTGCACAAAAACACCTGGGAAGGTATGAACTCCTTAGAACAATCAATCATATGAAATCAAAGGGCAGCATCTAGAGTATATGATTCTATACACACAAAATCCCAAGGACTCAGCAAGAAAATTATTGGTGCTAATTGAAAAATTGAACCAAGAAGGCAGGATACAAGATCAACATACAATATATACTATATGTATATAAATACACACACATACATATCAGTCAATTCCTTTACACTAATAAAGAAGTCTGAAAAGATTATCAATTATTACAGCCCCCCCCCAGAAGATGAAGTATGTAGGAGTAAAGCTAGCCAGAGAGACAAGACTTATACAAAGAAAACTATAAAATACTACTGTTAAGAAACCAAAAGAGGTCTATGTGAATGGAAGAATAAACAACTTATGAGTAAGAAGCCTTAACATTGTGCCCAAAGCAATCTACAGACAATACAATCCTGATCTAGATTCCAACCTCATTTTTTAAAGATAGAAACAGTAATCACCAACTTTATATGGAAAGGAAAAAGATTCCGGATTAGCAAAGCACTACTACAGAAGAATCAAGGTCCCTCCTCTCTTACTGCTCAAAACCAATACACCGGGGCAAGGTAGTCTAAACAGCCTGGTGTTGGTGTGATGACAGGCATATAGACCCATGGAAGAAAATTGAGAACCCAGATTTAAATCCATCCACCTGTGGACAGCTGATCCTTGACAGTGGACCAAAACACATTCCCTAAGGAAGAAATCGTCTTTTTAATGGTGCTGGCAAAACTGAATGCCCAGTTTGAGAAGAAAGAAACAGGTCCCGTTATCTTATACCATATACAACGATGAACTCAACATGGATCAGAGGCCTACTTGTAAAACCTAAGCCATAAGAGGATTGTCAATGAAAAAATAGAGACAAGTTTAGGATCCCTGAAAGCATGGAATAAATTTGCTAGCAAACATTACCGAGAACACAAGAACAGCAAAAGACAAACCAGATGACTGGGTCTTCCTAAAAATTTGACACTATGTGCATTAAAATATTTCACCAAGAGAAAAACAGAACCCACAGACTAGGAGGGAAAAAAATTGGGCAATGAACTATCATACAGTGGACTCATCTCAAAACCTTTTAGAAAAACTTTTAGAACACCGAACAAGAAAAAGACAACCCGATTTTAAAATACATAGAGGACAAAGACAGTACCAAAGAAGACAGTCAGATGGCCAGCAAACATAAGAAATGCTCCACGTTATTAGTCATGCAAGATAAATCAAAACAGCATTGGGTTTTCACCTCACCCAAGCACTAATAGCAAAGATTGAGAAAATTAAAAATATGGGGAGCTGATAGTAAGTTCAAGAAGAGAATGTTTTAAAAGTGGTTGTGGTAGCAATTGCACTATACTGCTTGATGTGATAGAACTATGGAATGATAAGATATCTATATTAGCTCCCAATACAATGGTTTTGGGGAAAAAAATAACAAACACTGATGATGATGTAGATTGGAAACCTCATATACTGCTAGTAGAACTGTAAAATGGTACAACCTCTTGGAAAACAGTATGGCCCTCCCTCAAAAGTACGACATAAAAATACCATATGGCCCAACGACCCCTTCTAATTGGTACATATCCCACAGAAATAAGAGCCATGGCACAAATTTAAGCACACCTATGTTCATTGCAGTGCTGCCCACAGCAGCCAAAAGATGGAAGTCACCTAAATAAGTGGCCAGCAATGAAGGAATAAATAAGCGATGTTCAGAAGGGTCTTAGGAAAGGAGAAATGGAAACAGGAAATACAGGGTGGAAGTGGAATAAGTGTTACATTGAAGGAATTGCAAAGAATGCGATGAAACAAAATGTATATGAACTGTTGAATGTAAAATGATGATCTGCTCTGTATGTAAACTCTCACCAAATTCATAATAAAAAGTAAAAATAAATGGGGGTGGGTGGGCAGCATTTACCCAGGATAAAGCTCAGAAGGCAGGGAGATAAGAAAAAAGGACAAAAGCAGAAGGGAAGCTGGGGGAAGAGGTGGGAATAGAGCTGTTGCGTTTTAGAGTGTGAACAATGGCACAATGTATGCAGGAATTTTTGAAAGAAAAGCAATCTGCCCTGTAAAGCTCCCGCCTAATTAAATCATAGTAAAAAGTTTGGTTTTGGAATCCTCGGGTTAAGTGCTCAGTTGCTGCCCCAAATGTTGATGGTTCAACCCCACCCTGATGCTCCTTAGAAAAAGACCTGGTGATCTGCTACAGGAATGGTTGTCATTCTTGTTAGTTGCCACTGAGTCCAAAAAGCACACTGCCATTGAGTCATTCTGATACACAGTGACCCTATATAGTGTTCCCGAGGCTTTACGGGAACAGATAACCTCATCTTTCTCCCTGGGAGTGGCTGGGGAGTTTGAACTATTGACCTTGAGGTCCCCCATCTAATGCCTATCGGACAGTGCCACCAAGGCTCCCAGAGTGTGGCAGCGTTCAGAATTTTTAGTGTTTCAGAAAGGTAATAAAATGTACATACAGAGCTGTATGACACCCCCCCACCAATAACATAATTTTAAAATAAATAAACCGTAAGTTTGGTGTTCAAGTCTACCCAGGACCTACTTTCATTAAGATTCCAGCCACTGGGGAAGAAATGGACAACAAGCCAAGTCAGTATAGCAATAGCATTTTATAATCAATGATGATTAGCACTTGCTTAGTCTGATTCTCAGTAGTCCCCTCATTCAGCTGCCAACTTAATGGTCCAAAACTATTGCTTTCATTGTGTCATATCTCTTGCTTTT